CATCTGGACCAGAACCACAGTGGCCCGGGCCAATGTGGTGGAGGACTGGACTCGTGGCGGCGGGGTGCTGCTAATGGGGTACGAGATGTACCGCCTGCTGTCTCTCAAAAAGAGCTTTGTAACTGGCCGCAAGAGGAAGTCCAAGAAACCCGCGGGACCTGTAATTATTGACCTGGACGAGGAGGACCGTCAGCAGGAGCTCATGAAAGGTCTGTCGGGGATTGCGGGTGGAAAATGTACGACGTTTACTCTGGTTATGGTCTCTAATGAGTTTTTGCGTGTCCTCTGTGGTGTTCAGGGATTGAGAGAGCACTGTCGCGGCCCGGACCGGATGTCGTCATATGTGACGAGGGCCACCGTATCAAAAACTGCCACGCCAGCACCTCGCAGGCCCTGAAGAACATCCGGTCCCGGCGGCGGGTGGTTCTGACCGGATACCCGCTGCAAAACAACCTGATCGAGTACTGGTGCATGGTGGATTTCGTCCGGCCCGATTTCCTCGGTACGCGGCAGGAGTTTAGTAACATGTTCGAGCGGCCCATTCTGAACGGCCAGTGTATAGACAGCACACCGCAGGACGTCCAGCTCATGAGATACAGGAGTCACGTCCTGCACAGTCTGCTGGAGGGCTTCGTGCAGAGGTCAGCTATTATTATTACATATTTATTATTGTTTATTTTATTTATTTAAAAAAAACGACCATGTACAATTTAACATTATTTTTACAGTCTCAAGCATTGTGCTTATGATTATTTTTATCATTATTATTATTATTGAGTGTTAATATTATATTTCTTCTGAAATATTTATTATATTTACTTATTTGTTGTTGTTAATAAAATAATATATTATGTCTATTAGTATATTATTACATATTAGTATCATTTATGTTCAGATTTATAGTAATTTAAATAAAAAAATTATTGTATTATAGTTCATGAGTCATTATTACAGTTATGAATATTTATTATTGTTTATTTAATTATTATTGAATATTTGTTATCTTTTACATGTTTATTATTAAATAAATATTTATTTTATTATCACCATTATAAGTAGTAGTATTATTGTTGTTATTTTCATTATGAAATATTCTTATTGTTTACATTAATTATCTCTTTATTATTTACCCATTTTTATTATTTGTGGTATTAGTAATGAATATTTATTTTTACATGTTTGTTATTGTTATAATTTTTATTATGTCATTATTAATAATTTGTTTTCAATATTAATATTATTGAATATTCATTATTATTATTATTATTATTATTATATAACATATTATTGTTTACAAATTATTAATTTACTATTTAGGTTTTTGTTGTTTACATACATTTATTATTGAATGTTTTTTATTATTATTAAATGTGTATTAGTGTTAACAATTATTGTGGATTTATTTTTCTTTTTTGTTATCATTACTCTTAAGATTTTTATTACATTCGTAATATGGAATATTGAATTATGAATTAATTTTTATTAGAATTTATGTATGTATTATTGTTTACAAACATTTATTAATAGTAAATTGTATTATTATTAAATAATATTATTACATTTATTATTTGTTGTTGTTATTAAATATTTATTTTTATTTACAAATTATTGTTTATTCAATATTTAAGTTTAGGTTTTGATTGTTTTTATTATTATTGAATATTATTGTTTACATGTATTATTTAATTATTACATATTTATTATATACGCAACGTATATTTTCTTTAGAATCAAAATGTCTTGGAAAATAAGTCTTATTTTTTGTTCACAATTTTTGCTTCTCAAGTAAATTCATCTTCTAAGGAGGTTTAGGTACAGAACAAAAATGGCGTTTTTGTGCATTTTTGAGTTGGACCATTGGTTTTGGAAAATGAAGCTAAACTGTTTTCTCCCTGGTCAGGCGAGGTCACGATGTTCTCCGGAATCAGCTTCCAGGGAAAGAGGAGCACGTGATCCTGGTACGACTATCTCGCCTGCAGAGGGCGCTCTATACGGAGTTCATGAACCGCTTCAGGGAGGCGGGAAACACCGGGTGGCTCGGACTCAACCCGCTTAAAGCTTTCTGTGTTTGCTGCAAGGTACTTACACCCCAAAGACGCACCTGTTGTATGCCTTATATATAGTGGTTGATGTACTTACGACTCTTTTTTTTGTGCGTCCTGTAGATCTGGAATCATCCGGACGTTTTGTTTGAAACGCTGCAGAAGGAAAATCTGGCCAATGAGCAAGATCTTGACCTGGATGACCTCAACTCCACCAGCGGGACCCGCTGCTCCGCTCCGGGAATAAAGGGCAAGTCGTCCGACCCGGCCAAAAGCAAGATGGCTGCTATGGGACCCCTGAACCCCTTACAGGAGAAGGCCAACCAAGTCATCACATATGAATGGGTAACACTGCGCAACTTAGAATGTGTTTGACTCTTTGAATTGAAACCGAAATGCTAATATGACTTATCACAAATGTGCAATTAAATTAAATAAATGTATGTGATGCATGTTTCGGTGTTGTTTTCAGTGGCTCAAAGTGGCAAATTTCGCAGTAAATTTTCTTTCCAAATTTGGTATTAGTGGTGCTTATAAACCAGCTGTTGTCAACAAAAGCTTTAAGAGCTCTCTGCGGTTTTTGCCAAACAGAAGCTTGTTGGTATAACTTTTGAAAATACAGAAAATAAGACAGTCATAAATATTAGTTTATTATAATGTAGCAAATTGTACCATAAACTAAAATTACTATTATATATTTTTTATTGTTGTTTTTCAGTGAAATATTTCAATAGTAATATTTCTTCTGTATTAAATGGTAATATTTCTTTATATATTTCTTTAGTTTATTTAGTTTAGTTTTAACGCATTTTTAAAAAATCTCAATTTTTATCAGAAAAATCACAATTAGTGTTTTCATCGTGCAGTCCTAGAACACATTGTTCACTTTCTCATTTGCCTTTAGCATTTTCTTTTTAACTTATAGTGTTAGAAAAACCAATCATATTTTTTACGAGACTATTTTATGGCTTGTCTCTTAGAATTAGAACCAGCTGTTTTTGCTACTGTACCTTTAAGACTTCTGTATGTAAATATTATGATTGGTCTTTGTTTGCGCCCGGCTGCTGAACTTTGAATAGATTTTAGTTGGAAATGTTGGTGGTCATGATGTAATTTCTGCACATTATGAACACATTTGAATCCTTTTTGAATCATTTGTTTTAGGCAAAAGACATCATGACCAACTACCAGACGGGTGTTCTGGAGAACTCTGCCAAAATGGTTCTGCTTTTCCACCTGATTGACGAGAGTGTCAAACGAGGAGATAAAATACTTGTTTTCAGGTGGGAAATGTTTGCAGTTTTTTATGTGTGACAGTGTACAGATGTTTGCCTTTTTCTGTAATCTCTCCTTAGGCATCCTGAGCTGTCAGTCATGCTTTTATTTTACATTTACCTCAACACTTACACTGGCTTGTTTATCTGTGTGTGATTGTTGCAGTCAGAGTTTATCAACGCTTACGGTTATGGAAGATTTCCTGAGTCGGAGGCCCATGCCGATCCAAACAGAAACTGGGATGCACAACTGGGTCCGAAACGTCAATTACTACAGTGAGTTTTCAAATGTTTGCTGATGCCAAGGACCAGGGTTGTTATTGTTAACTAAAACTAAAATGATAAAGAAAAGTTCATTACTTTAAATAAAAACTAAATAAACTAAAACTAATAAATACAAATCATTTTTAGAGATCAATAAAATCCAAAAGATTAAAAAAATATATAAAACTACACAAAGTTTTCCTGAAAGCTTCCCCCTGCGAAGGACCCTCTTCCTAAAATATAAAGGCAGCTATATATTTTATGAAAGAAATGGTAAGTGGAGTGATTATTAGAATTTTAAAATGGAAATTTAAGTGTGATTGAATTTTAACGTTTATAAATTTTGGAAATATAATAATAATCATCATAGTTAATAATTAATTCAAATGTATTTAAAAAAAGAAAAAGACAGTTATATTTTTAAAAGCCTTGTTTATACTGTGTGAGACAAATAATACGTGTGATAAGTGTCCTATAATTTTAATTCATAATAATAAAAATAAAAACTATAATAATTAGTAATATTCATGTAATGTTACTTTTAAGTCATAATTTAAGCATTTTTAAAATGTACTTGTGAATAAAATATGTTTAATATATCTGAAAAAAAGGTATATAATAATTAGCTATTCAAATATTTTAGCAGTACATCTCAAAACACTAGTGCTGTCAAGCGATTAATCGCATCCAAAATAAAAGTTTTTGTTTACATAATATATGTATGTGTACTGTGTATATTTATTATGTATATATAAAAACACACACATACAGTATATGTTTTGAAAATATTTACATGTATATATTTATATTATTTATATTACAGATAAATATATTTAATATGTAAACACAACATATTTTTCTTAAATATATACATGCATGCGTTAGTATTTATATATACATAATTAATATACACCGTATACACACATATTATGTAAACAAAACTTATTTTGAATGCGATTAATCGTTTGACATCACTAAATATATATATATATATATATATATACTATTACATTAAATGCATTAAATAGAATATAAGAGTATCATATAACTAAATGTTATTCTTTATGTTTTGTAAAGAAATTTACTCACAGGCCCAATTTATACTTATCTAAAGGACTAATTTCAAAAACTATTGTAAGACCATGAAAAAAATTAATGTCAAGCTTATCTGTTTGACCGGTAGTATAAAAATAAGGTGAAGCTGTCTCCTGTGGTTGCTATGGTTAGATGTGTTGCAGAAATAAATATTGATTCAGACATCACTTTTGCTCATTGCTACAGCTCTACTTTCTGCAGTGGTGAAAACCTCAATACGTCAGTGGGGTAGTTACCGCTGACACTGACGTTAACATTTAACACGGTCCCATCCGGTATTAAACGAGGACGTGTATCTGACTTATTTTGTTGTTGTTTTTTGCATAGAAAGAAGAAAACGCCAAAGAATAGAAGATGGGGAGAACAGACGAAGAGTGAGTTATAAATAGTACAGAGTAATACATACATATAATTACTCTAATGATACATATTACAGTTATATGATTATACGTATATGACAGGAATGGAGAGAGCGTTATGCACAAAGAGATGAGACTGCTGCCAGAAACCGGATGTCCATGTCTGAGATGAAGGAAACCAACTATGGCGAAACCCTAAATTCAGACACAAACCGGCGTATGTTTAATGCCCAATAAGACATGTGTCCTGTAGTTTTCCTATAGAGTATTTGTTATTAAGTGAATTTTGCAAAGAAGCAGTCACATTTATCCCTTCATTTTTATACACAGAGGCCAAGTACACCCGTAGCAGCAGCCAGACAGGACGAGACAGCATTGAGTTGTTGCAGGACGCGGAGCCGTTGGACTTTAATGCTGCAACACTCAATGATGACCCTTTGCAATCTGAACCTGGCAGGTTAGTTTAAGTTTTTTGAGTGCTGCAGCAATGAAATATTTTTGTAGGCCATCAGGAATGTTAGCATCACCCTGGTTCCCTCGACAAATTGGCTTTTGGATTATTGCAGAAAATAAGTTATGTGACCATCAAAAGCTTATGATTCTTACACGTTTTGTAAGCCATAGCCAACAATACATTGTATGGGTCAAAATTATCGATTTTTCTTTTATGCCAAAAATCATTAGGATATTAAGTAAAGATCATGTTCCGTGAAGATATTTTGCAAATTTCCTACCGTAAATATATCAAAACTTAACTTTTTGATTAGTAATATGCATTGCTAAGAACTTCATTTGGACAACTTTAAAGGCGATATTTTTGCACCCTCAGATTCCAGATTTTCAAATA